GTCAAAAATAATAATAATTCGGACAGGTGCTGCCATTTTGTAGTTTTCTTTCAATAATTTTACACAGTATTGCCAGTCCTAACGAACGTCATTACTCACAAGGCAACAGTCCACTTCCCAGAATTCAACAGTGCTTCCAGCATGCTGCTATCTGCCAAAATGGAAGAAAGTTTAGATCCGATCTGTACCTGATTAAAAAGTTCGGTCCTTATTTGACAGCCACTTTTCCACAGCTCCTCTTCAGCACGGTTCGACTCGGCTCGGTACCTTTTTCCACTAGAACTTTTTTGTGGAACCGACCCCTTTTTTAGTCCCTTCTTCTCTGGGGTACCAAGCGAGCCGAGCCGGCACCAAAACGTGACGTCAGAACATCGTCGGTCACTGATTGGTCAGGGGGTGGAATCACTGGATCCTTGAGAAACGTGTCAAAACAAACGATCCGCCATTTGCAATTACTCGAGCTCGGAGCAGCGGCTGGACCTATTTTTAAGATTTTAAAAACAATAACGACAACACCGTGTTTAAAGCTGAAGTCCAGGCGTTTTTTGTGTTTGATGACCGAGCCTCACGTTCTCATAAAGGCCGGACTCCGAGCCGCGGCAGACGGGTGGACCGGGACAGGTCTGGGACAGAGGATGGAAATGATTTTTAAAAGCATTTTATGTATCAAAAAATTATGTATTTTTTATCAGTGATGATTAAAAGGTGGGGATCCTAACCCTCACGATAAACGAGGGACTAATGTACTCCATCAATCCCATTTTTAATCCCGTATTCATCAAATATCAACATTCAACACAAGAAGCAAAGATTTCAATAATAATAAATCTAATAAATGATGGTTCAAGGTTGAATAAAAAAATGAAGACACCTGAACTTTTTTTATTCTTGTATACTTAATTTTTAATACATTCACAGATTAGTGCAAACTCAGGGTGCAAATGAAATTGTAATATTGATAATGACAATTATGATAATGACAAATAATAAATTTTAAAGAAAGTTACTATAAGTTCAACAAAGTTCAGTCAGTTCACCTGGACAGTTTCTTTTTTTTGGTTGTTGTTGTTGAGTTGTTTCGTCCTTCATCCAAAGGACTTCTTCAGTCCCAGGAGCCATAACAAACTCAGTCCCACAAGCAGCACATCCACATAGTGGACCAACCAGTTTGATGGTGAAAAGATGGTTTCTGGGGCCCACCCACTCCCCCGTTGGCTCCTCTGAGGCAGCCAGAGTCAAAATGGTTAAAAAAAAATCAAAGGATGGATGAAGGACGAAACGTCTAAAAAAAAACAAACAAAAAAAACAAACAAAAAAAAAACTGTCCAGATGACCTGACTGAACTTTGTTGGATTTTCTTTCTGGATTATTGAGCATGAAGTTTGATGTTTTGAACCACTTTTAATATGGCTGTCTCAGAGGAGTCGACAGGGGAGAGGGCAGGCCCCAGAAACCATCTTATCATCGTCAATTGGTTGGTCCACTTAGTGGATGTGCTGCTTGTGGGACTGAATTTATTGTGGCTCCTTGGATTGACGAAGTCCTTTGGATGAAAGACGAAACATCTCAACAACAACAAAAAAAAAGAAACTGTCCAGATGACCTGACTGAACTTTGTTGGATTTTCTACCTGGCTAACTGAGCATGAACGTTGATGTATAAGTTATTGCCCACTGCAGTCCATTTCTCCAGATAGATTGTTTTTATTAGATGTAGACTTCCTGATTCTGGTTCTGAACGACATCACCTGGTCTCTGTGGGGTTATTGGACCGTACACCGGTAGATGCCACAGACTTAACTCCCTAGTAGATGGACGGCTGTAGTTTTTAAAAATTTTAATGATACCTTAAACTTCAACACCGCTGTAATCCTGTTAGGCAATATTTGCATACATCTACCGTAAGTTCTTTTCTACGCTACGTCAGGATATTTATTTTTAAAAGTGTCCACCAGCATTTCTGTTGGGTCAGAACGTGGGAAACTGAGAAAGTGCGATTAATTAATTAATTAAAATGTGTTATTTGTTTCTGTAATTAAATAATTTGATGTGTTAAAGTTTCAGCCCTACTTTAGACATATTTTAGACAAAGGACTAGAAGCCAGAAGTTGAAGCCACAATAGATGGCTGCCCCCTAGTGGCTGGCTGCAGTACCTTTTTAAGCCCCGCCCCTCCATGTTAATGAATGAGATACCTTTTGGACTAAAGACAACAACAAAAAAGGAATTTTTAGGTGTTATCTTTTTGTCGATTCATGAGGCACTTACCTTGCTTTTGTATGCTCAAATAAACATTTTTAAAAATGAATTTTGTTTTAATTATTTGAGATTTTAAAAAGTTTTGTGTTACACTGTGGCAGGTTGGGAGGGTGTGTAGGCAGAATGTTTATATCGATGAACAGACTCCGACAAACGCTGGTTTTAATAACAACATGACAGAAGAAAAAATCAAAACATTTTGGCTTCAGTTTCTGACAGTGGAAGTTAACGAGGTCGCTTCACTTATCTTTACGTATGCTGATCTTGGCTAAAGAGTCTCCAAAAACTTGTTTTTCTACACTGCTGACAGTGTCCTCTCAGTTGTGTCCATTTCCGCACACAAAGTTTGACGGCAACAGGAGACATATTCAAGAAAACGCAGACAGAACAGCTTAATGTATGCTGGTTTTTATAAAGCACAGAGTGACAGTGGTCATCCTCAGAACAGGCATGGTTTCAGAAAAGCTTCTTATCTTCTGTCCACATGAATTCAGAAAAAAAAAGTAAATTTTTTACCACCAAATCCCAATTGGTGTGTGGGCTGGAGGTGCACCGCCACAGAAAAATAAATATGTTTTTAATATGTGAAGAAGTGTGGACGTCATTCTAAAAACAAATGGTTTTTAGGTGCAGAATCATTTGATTGATTTAGTCTTTATCTATTTAAACACATTTTGCAATTATTGCTCTACAACAGCGGCCAGGCTAATTTAAAATTCCATATTTTATTTTTAATGGTTTCACCAGGGGCTGCAGACCTTTTCCTGTGTGCGTTAGGTGGCTGCTTTTTGGCCCTTGGCCACAATAAACGCCTGCCATTCAGTGTGTCAAACTGCCCTCAGTGGGTTGTTGGGTTGAGCGTAACGAACACCGAGCATCGTTCAGCAGCTCCCACCTGTCCGTTCAGACATCCCTCATCTCTCCTCTGGCCCGCAGCAGACGGTGGGGGAAGAACTCTTCCTCCGAGAGACCCGAAGCCTGACATCTGGACCTTGGACAGGATGTTCGGATGTCCGTGTGGGATTACGTTCTCATCTGCTTGTGACAAATAGATCGCTCAAAGTTACAGTTGTTTTTATGTAGGTCAAACTCATATTGAGGGGGCAGACAGAGAGCAGACCCCCCCCAAGAAGCACGATGATGACATCAGCTGCTCCTTTACAAACATCAAGAAGTTTAGATGTTTAAATAACAAACTATTACATTTTCTGCACCAGTAGAGTGTGAATATTGAATATACTGTAGCTAAAAAAATTTTTTGAAGCTGATAATCTTAAAGACACAAACCATTAGCTATAAAGTTTAAAAAAAAGGCAGAAATGTAGATGAAAGCTAAAAATAGCCAAAGGCTACCTAAAAGTTAACAGTACCAAAAGGCTAGTAAATTGCTAAAAATGGAAAAGTAGCTAAAAATTGAAAGTAGCAAATAATTTCCTAAAAGCAGCAAAAGGTTTGCTAAAAGCAAAAATAGCAAACAAATAGCTTAAAAGTCAAGTAGAAAAAGGTAGCTAAAAGTAGTTAAAGACTAGCAGAATTAAAAGGCTAGCTACAAGCTAGAAGTAGCAAAACATAGTCTAAAATGTAGAAGCATAATGGTCGCTAAATGAATCAAAATGTTAGTGTTAAGTATTATAGGTTAGCTAAACGCAAAAGGGGGAGTAAAAGCTAAAATTAATAAAAGGCTTGCTAAAAGTAGCAAAAGGCTAGCTAAAAGTATTGAAAGACGAGCTTTGAGCTAAATGCAACAAAAGGTTAACCAAAATCTAAAATAAATAATAATTATAAAATAATATTTTAAAGATAAGGTAGCAGAAGTAAAAGTCATAGCAAAAGGTCAGCTAAAAGTCTCAAAAGCTTAAAAGCTAAAATAATCAATAAGTTAGCTTAAACAATGAAATGGTTAGCTAAAAGTAGCAAAAGTCAAATTCAAAATTTTTTAAACTCTGGATAAAAGCTAAAACTAGCAAAAGACTGGCTAACAGCTAAAAAATGTAACGTTAAAAACTAAAAGTGGTAAAAGACAAAACAGAGCAAATCTGAAGAATTAGATTTGAAAGAACAATGTTTTTAAAAGAAGCAGTGGTGGGCATAGCTAACCAAAAAAGTTTTCTTCACTAACCCATATTCCACTAAATAAATTATTACCTTTGCTAACGCTAAACTGCTAACTGCTAAGACAACGGTCACTCAGTCTACGTTACACGTCTTTGTCTCCTTCCAGTTGAAGCTGCGTTGACCAATCACGTCTTGTCACATGTGCATGTCAGCCTAACAGACTCTTCAAGACACGCCCACAGCAGACAAGAACAAGCTTGTGAATTTTGTTAACGGACTTAAACTTGGCGAAACCTAATTTAGCAGAAGCTAGTTCCGCTAACAGTTTCCAAAGTTTGCGAAAATGCTAATACGCAAAATGAAAAATTAGCTCCGCTATTAGCAGATTAGCAGAACAGTGTCCAAATCAGCTGAAAGTTTTTTTTTTTTTTATATACAAATGGCTAAAATAGCAGTGTTTAGACTAAAAACTACAGTGTAAACACTGAATCAGTTTCCACATCAAACTGACGTCTCCTGAGCCTGGTTCTGCTAAAGGTTTCTTCCTCATGAGGGAGTTTTTTCTTTCCACTGTCGCCTTCATGATTCTCAAGCTGAGAGTCTGTGATGGAGTTAAATTCAAAGCAGTCTGCTCCTCTGATAAATGTTCATTTTTTATGTATATGAATGTTTCTGTTCAGTGCCCTGAGTTGACTTCTGTTGTGACTTGGTGCTATATAAATAAACTGAAGTGAACTGAATTGGACCGTATGAGGCCTTTTACCTTCTGATAACCATTTTGTTGGCGACCCCCTTTGGGAGGAGAAATGTTCTCTCCTCTTTGGAAGAGTGGGGTCGTCGCCACCCGCCTTTGGCTCGTTGTCTGTTGGTCTGCGGCTCAAAACATCCACAAAGAGCTGCAGGGAGTCATCATCCGTGGAGGAGGGGGGCGTCGGTGGAGGAGGGAGATCTGCATGTGATTCATCAAAGATGATTTGAAGAAAACACAAAGAAACATTCATCATAAAAGAAATCATCTTGACATTTTGGGGGGAAATGTGCTTATTCATATTATTGCTGGGAGTTAGATGAGAAGATATCCGCCTTGCGTTTGTGTTTAAAACATGAACACACAGCTTTGCATAAAGACCAGAACCAGTGGGGGACACTTTATGTGTCTCTGCCCTCGAGTGTGGCAGGCTGACTCTAAAGCACCCTGATTACCATGTTTTACCACGTTTGTTGCTTCAGAGGAAAAATGGAAGAGTAAAAACACACATTAGTCAGTTTCTAGATCATTTTGAGCCTGAAATATTTGGTCATTAGAGGAATCCTGTGGACACTGAATGATTTTGGAAAGAGTTAAGCACATAAATAACCAGCTATCTCTTTAATGATGACGTATTAAAATTAATATCTGCTACTAGAAGTTAATCCTATTCATTCAGTTTCAATACTCATCCCTGTCTGAACTTGAGTTTGGGGTGGGGGATAGCTTGTTTTACGTTGTTTTGCGTTGTTTCAGTCAGTCGTGGTGAAGACAGAGTTGAGTCGAAAGGCAAAGTTCTCAATTTACTGGTCTGTCTACGTTGCAACCCTCAACAGTGGTCATGAGGTTTGGATCATGACCAAAAGAAGAACCTGGATACAAGCGGCTGAAATGAGCTTCCTTTGCAGGGTGGCCGGGCTCAGCCTTTGAGCTAGGGTGAGGAGCTCCATCATCCGGAGGAGCTTGGAGTAGAGTCGCTGCTCCTCTACATCGAAAAGAGTCAGTTAAGGTGGTTCGGGCTTCTGGTTAGGATGCCTCCTGGACCCCTTTGGAGGGGTTCCTGGGCATTTCCCACTGGTAAGAGTTCCCGGGGTAGATTCAGACCTCACTGAAGGGATTGTGCATCTTCTCTGGCCTGGGAACACCTTAGGATCACCCAGGAGGTGCTGGAGAATGTCACTGGGGATAGGGAGGTATGGGTTTCTCTGCTAGACCTGTTGTCTCCACAACCCAAGTACAGACCTTTGATTTTATAGATATTAATGCTCATGTTCAAACTCAGTGCATTGCAAGGCATTGGAGTCTAGGTGTATTCTTAACTCATACCGGTTCTTGGACATCTAATCTACTTTTATTTGTCAGTGAAGTATTTTTGTTACTATCATTGACTAAGGCCTCTTTATCCCAAAAAAATATATAATTAGAAATTATTCTTAAATTTGATGTTTCATCTTTGCATTCACTTTCATCCTCTGTTGATATTCTACCAATATATTCTACAGTAGCTACAGGAAGTGACTGTGTTTGGACACTTGGTGCCTGATTTTACACATGCACATTGATACCTGTGATAAAAGATACGTGGTAGAAGATGGGGATGATTTTTTTTATTTTTTATTTATTTTTATTATCTCCCACGGCCAAAACGTGAACGGTGGGCCCTTTCGTTTTTGTTTGTGACCAAAATGTCTCATGAATCAAAGGAGAAAAGCTCGACATCTCATACCACATTATTTTCTAGATTTAACTAAAGCTGCATGTTCTCCTGTTATTTGCTTGCTGACTTTTTCATTTACTTGAGCCTCGTTTGAAATGAAAGTCTAAAAATCACCAAAGTTATATCACATTAATCAAAATGATGAATCCGTGAAACTTCAAAGCAATCTATTGTGGTTGTCTGAGTAAAAACTACACTTATGTGCTACTGAATGGTTAAAAATGGTCAAAAACAGTCCTATTCTTGTTCTCTGCTCTAAAACAACAGGGCCACAGTGGAGTGTACCTGCATCTCTGTGCCTCTCTCTTCTGTTTGGTCCGTCTTTAGGGGCTCGTTTCTTCCCTCTGGACCTATGAGCTGCAGGGCTTGACCCTGCAGCTGCAGCAGGAGATTGTCCCAATTAGAAAACATGAACATTTACTGAAAATAATAAAATAAACACCGAGGCCTATTTTAAATGAAAGATAAACTTGATGTTTATGGACAAATACTTTCTGTTGTGTAGCTTCACAAACCAGACAAGAAAACAGTCATTTTTGAGAAACTTTAGTGTAAACTCTGAACACTAAATGACATTAACTCTCTAAAAGAAGAGAAGCAAACACTAGCTAAAAGCTAAATGTAAAATGGCTATCTAAAAATAGAAGTATCAAAATGGTAGCTAGAAGCTAAAAGCAAAAGACTAAATAAAACCTTAATGTAGGAAATTGCTAGTGTAAGTTAAAAGTAGAAAATGTTAAAGTAGGCCCAGTTAAAAGTTTAAATTAGCTAAATACTAGCTAAGAAACTAAAGTTAACTAAAACTATTAAAAGGTTAGCAAAAAGTCAAAAGTATGTCAAGGCAAATTACAAGGTCAAAGTAGTAAAATGGTAGCTACAAGCTAAAAGTAGCAAAAGGCTTGGTAATACATACAAAGTACAAATGACAAATTTCAAGCAGCATAGGGCTATTGTAAAAAAACAAAAGAAAAGCCAAAGGCTAAAGTTGCAAAAGGCCCAGCTAAAAGCTAAATTTAGGAAAATACTAGCTAAAAGCTAAAAGTAGCAAAGAGATAGATAAAAGTAATAAAGAATAACAGCTAAAGTTAAATGTAGCAAGATGCTAAAATTGAAAAAAAAATAGCTAAAAGCTAAAGTACCACAATGTCTCACTTTATGGTAAAATTTGCAACAAATTAGCTAAAAGGTAAAAGTAGTAGGACACTAGATAAAAACTAGAAGCAATAAAATGCTGTCTATAAGCTAATAGTAGCAGAGCAATAGCTACAAGCTAAAAGTAACAGAAGGCTAGATACAATCTAGAAGCAACGTAAGAGTCGTTGAAAACTAAAAGTATTAAAAAAGACAAAAATAGAGCAAATTTGCTGAATCAAATTTCAAAGAAGAACGTGAAAAACATTTAGATGTTTTTCTACAGGGAAAATTAAACATTGTGAAAAGTATAAAATTGCAAAAGCAGAAAGTTGAAGCACACATTTCCTGGATGAGCTGAAGGTTTTGATAAATTAAATGTGAAAATAGCACAAAATTTGCAAAGGTAGTTCAATCATAGACCCCCCCCCCCCCCAATATGAACTCTGAATCAGCCTTCAGATTACTACAAATGAAACGGTGTCTCTGTGGGTCTGTTCGGATGAGGGACACTTTCAAACTGACCTTTTCTGAGGTTTTCTCCCCTGAAGTTATCTCCCCAGTGGCCTGAGTTGTATAAACCACTGGCATCCAGGGCCATGATGTTGGTGAACAGATCAGGGTTGGACCGGGACACCTGGGATCCCAAGTGTTGACGGGCCAGGAGGTCAAAGTGCTGAAGACGTGGACCGTCGCTGGGTTTGGGCGAGTCTCGTTGTGGGGAAGACAGTTTAGTTATGAAGGAAAGCTCCTCCGGTTTGGTGGCCAGGCTCGAGACCTCCTCTCTGGACGTGTCCATCAGGTAGGTTCTGGCTGGCAGTGGGGGACACCAGTCATCGTCCTCCTCCTCAGAGCTAAAGGTCATGAAAGCAGAATGGGCGTAAACTTTTCAGGGAAAGTGCAGCAGAGCTGTTACCACCATGCTTTAATCCAAATATAACAATGAAAATACTGTTACTACTTTAACAGCACATATTGAGTTGTATAATATTGTAAAACCATATTATAATTGTTTTGTTGCCTGTGTGTAGGTGTTTATTTGTACTCAGCATTAGAAAAATATACAATGAGCCAAACTAACTTCTTGCACAAGCTCTGTTCTTCAAAAGGCTGCTGACTCAACTCTGCCCATGTTTTAATGTTTTAATCCATCTTTCAGGAAATATTCATTGGCTGTCCCTCTACAACTAATTCACTTGAAGTCAGTCCTTAACAAACTGATCACTACATCCAACCGACCATAGAAAACACAAAAATGGCTACAACTCTGTCACTTTCACAGGTTTTGAGCTAAAGCTTGATGCGGTGGTGACTGAGTCAGTCACAGAACATCAGCATGGTATATAATAACATTATATCACAGGTTGGACTACAACAGCTACAACTACATCATTTCTTTAAAATAAAAGCTCTTAAGACTAATTTATACTCAGCAAGACATCAAGAAAATTGTTCTTGTGACAAAAAAGACATCTTTTGGTTCTTGCGCAGCCTCTGAGAACTTGTTCTGTGCACAAGCTCCTTGCAGAACTTTTTTCCCGCAGTGGCAAGTCCTCTGTTGTCATTTCTGCTCTGCTGCAGCTCTACAGCTGTTCCAGGAAAACTTACAAAGGTAGTTAAATAAATCTTATGAAGATAATCAAAGAACTCGTAGAAGGAGACAGATCAGAAACAAGTGGTTTTCCGTGGCTGTGCTATCCAGCTGGACTAGGGACACGTTCCCACATCATCTGTTGGAAATGACGATGGTCTTTTCATGCCAAATTTGCAAAATCGCTCTCTCCTCGGTTAACAACAGAAATAGCTGATCTTTCTCCTCCAACTCCTCCATTATCAACTGAAAATAAACATCCATTCTTAAAACCGTGCCATTTGTGTTGTTTCTATTTGTGTGCAACATGCCCTGCAGTAAGAGGGTGTTCTCATTAAGTTCAAGTTCAACTCAATGTCATTCACATCACATGTGGTACATGAGGTGGAATGAAATTATGTCCTCGGGGTCCCAGTTACACACAATAGCTAAAATATAAAGTATAAAAAGAAACAGTATATAAGGATCTAAGATATAAAGTACACTAAGATATACGCCAAATGAACGCCAAACGGTACACCAAAAGATCCAAGATATACGCTAATCACTAATAATGTAAAATAATACAGAGTAACAACAGCAGCCTGAACATGAGTCCGTGGTGAGCAGATGGGTACGAATGAATACTGCAGCATGAGATAATCAGCAGCATGAAAGCAGCAGCATGGATAATCAGCAGCACAGATGTCACATATCACCAATTACGGTTTCTCTTTAGAGAAGATAATGTGCAAGAGGAAAAGAACGTCTTGTAACCATGGCAGTGAGTGATGTGTGAGTTAGCTGTGCTGCTGATTATCCATGTTGCTGATCTTTTGCCTTTATGCTGCTGTTTTCATTTCCACCTGCTCACTACAGACTCGTGCTCGGGCTGCTGTTAATATACCATATTATTTTACATTATTAGTGTTTAGTGTATATCTTAGATCTTTAGCGTACCGTTTTGCATTCATTTTGCATTCGTTTAGTGTATATCTTAGATCTTTAGCGTACCGTTTAGCATTCATTTAGCATTCATTTAGCAGATCTTTAGCGTACCGTTTAGCATTCATTTAGCATTCATTTAGTGTATATCTTAGATCTTTAGCGTACCATTTAGCATTCATTTAGCATTCATTTAGCAGATCTTTAGCGTACCGTTTTGCATTCATTTAGCATTCATTTAGTGTATATCTTAGATCTTTAGCGTACCATTTAGCATTCATTTAGAATTCATTTAGCAGATCTTTAGCGTACCGTTTAGCATTCATTTAGCATATATCTTAGATCTTTAGCGTACCGTTTAGCGTACAGTTTAGCGTACCGTTTAGCATTCATTTAGCATTCGTTTAGTGTATATCTTAGATCTTTAGCGTACCGTTTAGCATTCATTTAGCATTCATTTAGTGTATTTCTTAGATCTTTAGCGTACCGTTTAGCATTCATTTAGCATTCGTTTAGTGTATATTTTAGCACATATCTTAGAATCTTATATACAGTTTCTTTTTATACTTTATATTTTTGCTTTTTTTGGTTTGTAACTGGGACCTTGTGTACACAATTTCATTCCATCTCATGTACCACATGTGATGCAAATGACAAAGAACCTTGAACCTTAAGAACAGATGTTTTACGTCTTGTTAAATATGTACCAACCTTAAGTCTGAAAGTCTGGATAACATGGATTCCTTGAAAGAATGCTCGTTCTCTACTTATTCACTTAATTTTTGCCAGAATCAGTCAAACTTTTTCTCCCGACTAATCAGTTTTTAGAACCAATGAACTCAGCAGACACCTCCTGCTTTGCTTTATGGGACACCTGGGTTGACGTGTTCCTCTGCGTGATTGTTAAACAGTGTCCTGCGTCTGAGCGATGGAGCAGAAGTAGTGTTTGACCTTTTATAGGAAGAGCAGAACAATATGTGCAGCCAAAAGAAATTAATGATTCACCGAAGGCTTGACCTTCAGAATACATACTGTTGCATTTTTGTGTGTGTTACTGTGTACTCACCGGGAATAGGTTTTACACTAAATGCCACTACGTGAGACATCTGGTGAATCCTGGTGCCTTGTTCTGTTTAATTTGACCCGATTTCACACAATGTCCAAAACAATAACTAGAGGGGATGTTCGTGTTTATGGAGAAAATAATTCAACTAGATGGCAACACGCCCAAAATGACAAATAATTTTCAACATGTTCACGGAAAAACTTCTGGAAAGCTGTACAGTTTAAAAAATAAAGGCCCAGCACTCCTTGAAGAAATGCAAATTTTCCCGCAGTGTATCATATCTTGAAAAGGGACTGTGTTTTAGTTTTTTTGTTCAAATCTGAACAAAATTATGAGAACAGTAGACTCTCGTTTATCGCGGTGGATCCGTACCCTGAAACCCCGCAATAAGTGAAAAACCGCAAAGTAGGGATAGTAGTACTAGTAAGTAGTAATTTATTTTAGTATATATATGTGTGTGTATATATATATAGGCGTTTTAAACCCTTCCCACACTCTTGCAACATTCTAAACAATGTTTCTAAACTCTAAACGCTCTAAAAAACACAGAATGTCATGATTTCAGCTCCCTGCCTCTGCTGCTCTCAGTCACCTGCAAGCGCTCTTGGCCACGCCCACTTCTTCGCTCTGCACTGAGAACAGCTGATCAGCTACAGGAGGACGCTTATCCTGCAGTGTGGGCTGCACAGAGGTGCAGCAGGTGCTACATAATTTAAAATAATTTATTTTAAATTAAAAAAATCCATGCCGATCATGCAGCTCATCCAACAATCAGCCAATTGTGCATCATGTTCAAATTCTATTTTGAAAAACCGCGATATAGCGAGCCCACGATAAACGAACCGCGATAGAACGAGGGATCACTATACACCCGATATTGTGAGATATTGCGTAAATACAAATCTAAATCTACTACAATACTAAACTTCAGTTCCATACGTTTTTTGTTTTCCTACTTTCAGTTGGCTCGGTGGTCAGTGCCACGGCCTCGTAACCTCAAGGCTGCGGGTTAGAGTCCAGAATGCTTCATGAAGAGTGTCAGGTTTAAAACAGTTGCCATATCTTTCATGTGATTTCTCTTCCCTGAAGAAGGGAGCAGCCGAAAGAATGACAACAATGTTCAGCTGGCTGTGGCAGCCATCTTGAATTGGCCTGACTCCAAAGGTTGTTCAGTTGTAGGTGTACACACACAATTACTTTCTGAGAGAATTGTTATCCTTCAAAAATCCAATAAAGCAGAATGTTTGAAGAACTGAATTTTTTTTAAAATCAGTCAAATGTCAGAGTCAGAGTCAGTTTCTTTATTGTTGTTTGTACCACATGTGTTACATGTGGTGGAACAAAATTATGTACACAGGGTCCTAGTTACATCCAACAATAAAATGTAAAAGACAAACAGTAATAAGATCCAAGATATGAACTAAGAAAACGACTAATAGCATAAAAACAATAAAAACAATACGCCGAACAGCAGCACAAATGTTTAGGATTCCAAGAGATGAACCAACAAACCACCACAGCTTTCTATAAAGAAACGATCCTGCACGCTTATAGATGTAACATTAAATCAGTTCAAGCAAAGAAAAAAGAAAAGGGCACTAGGCGTACAGAGAACAGGATCCACCTCCTTGATTTCTGTTGTCATTTTACCGCCATCAGGGCTAATTTAATGACGGACATGTCACTGAAAATGGAAAGTACTAATTCCGCCTGTCAGACGGAGGCTAATGTCTTTACAAAAGACATGGCGCAGTTGGAACAGCCTTCCGATCCGTCCCCGTTATGTCCGCAATCTAATGTGTCAGAACTGGTTAGAGGACATGCTTCCCTCCGCAGTCCCAATGCCCGATCCGCTCCCTGCCTGTAGAGACGATGGTGAACAAACTCCCCAGACTCTAAACTTCACTCAAGTTTTGTTCAACAGCCCTGGCAGCGTTACAGGACTGCTCTGATGTCCAGTTGCTCTAACCCCTGCTGTCA